AGAAGTACCTTTGATTGGTCCGATTCCTTGACCACCATAACCAGATCCAGAACTTCCAGCATTAGCCGACGCATCGGCATTTGCATTGGATCCTGCCGAACCGCTACCACTTCCATAACCTAAGTTTCCTGAACCTCCGATATTTGGATATTTAGGCTGACCACCGTAATTAGGTCCATTTAAAATGATTGGGGTATCCTTGATAGGCTGATTTTGTCCACCACCACCATAACTTCCAGCATTAGCATTTGCCGAACTATCTGCTTGACTTCCACCAGAATTTGTATAATATCCAGAATTAGTTCCAGGTAGAAATGTTGGTATGCCTTTAGGTTTATCTTGTTCAATTATAATTACTGAAGGGCCGTTGTTACATCCCAAAGTACTACAACCAGGCTTCGATGGAATTGTTGTAGGTATTTGTTGACCATGTGTCTGCCCTTGGTAATTTCCACCATTATTATTAGATCCACCATTTAGGAAAGGATTGTGTGCTCCAATTGGTTTTTGACCGTATCCCTGAGCATTTGCATTTGCGTTTGCATTTGCATTTGCATTTGCATTTGCATTTGCATTTGCATTTGCGTTGGAATTTGCTCCACCGCCACTTCCAGATCCACTAAGGAAAGGATTGTTTGTTCCTAAGTTACCAAGATAACCATTTTCATTATTGTATCCATGTGATCCAGAATGACCAATGCTATTAACATTTGTTGCGGCATTCGCTGCTGCATTGGCATTGGCATTGGCATTGGCATTGACATTTGATCCACCATTTAGGAAAGGATTTCGTCCTTGACCTGTTTCAAGACCGTAATTTCCATTATACTGCCCAGTTCCACCAGAATGTGTACCATAATTGCCATGACCTAAAAAGAATAACAAATTGTTAATATTATTTCTTACAACGTATCTTCGCACCTTTACAAAAAAAAAAAACAAAAACAACAACAATCAAACATAATTAAGCATGGAAGAACAAAAGTGCGTTACATAGACCTGGTAAGTAAATCAGATACATACATAACGATGAATACAATACACGATGATGAATACAATAGAAGAATAATTGATCGTAGTTCTGTAAAAATTGACGAATTATCAGTTTAGTCATTATGGTTATAAGGTCACAAAAGGTTCAAGCGAAAGTATTTTCTGCATTTTACTTTGGAATATGCAGATAATAATAAGGTACGTCCACTTAAGAACAAATGAAATACACAACGAGATATCTGACAAACTATCATCAGATTTCTTCATGGAAAGTTAGCAAGAAAGAGATAGCAATAAAACATATAAAATCCTTCTTGCAATTGGATCAAACTGCCTTCGATAGAAGAATGCGAGAAATAGAATAAGAAATATAGATGGAAATGTCAACGAAGAACAAGAGATCTTTCAAGTTGGATAACGAAGCTCACCTTGAGCTTGAGTTGGAGTATTGTCCTCCTCGATAACGACGATTTGAATAGGTTGTTGCTTTGGTCTATGTGGATGATGGTGGTTATAAGATTGACGTTGAGGATATCGATTCTGGTATCTACCTGGTCTGCCAATTGGTTGTTGCTGTTGCTCTTCGACGATAATTATTGGTAGTGTTGCCGAATTATGATACTCGGGAACACTATGAATAATTGGTCTAGGTTGTTGGGGTACTGGTCTTTGCTGTAAGATAGGCTGTGGTCGTTGAATGATTTGTGGTGGAACGTTTACAGGAATTGATTCGGGTATTTTATATCCATGCTCATTCCTATTAGAATTAGCATTAGCATTTGCATGAGCACTAGAATATGCATTAGAGTTTCCAGAATTACTATTTCCTTGGTAGCCAGGATAAGATGGACCATAATTAGCGGTATAAACAGGCCCCAAAGTTGGACCCGGATTTGATGGAATTGAAACACCTCTATTGTTGCCTCTATTGTTACCTCTATTGTTACCTCTATTGTTACCACTGTTTACATTAGCATTTGCATTAGCATTTGCATTAGCATTTGCATTAGCATTGGATTGAGCATTTCCGGTATTAGGTGAGGGACCATCGTAAAAGTTATATTGTCCATTCCAAGGAATAACATTGTTCGAATAATCAATTGGTTTCAAATTATAATTGCCATTGATACCTTTGTTGTAAAGACTCGAAGAACCATCATATCCTAGTTTGAATAGAAGAATTATGGATAACGAAATATTTTCGTACCGATCATTTATAATTTAACCAAAAAATAGACTAATTGTTTGACGATTATACAAATAAGATGTAGAAAATTGACTAATTTTATCTTACCTTGTGCACCGCCGTTGGCTGTAGCACCAGCGTTGGCTGCAGCACCAGCGTTGGCTGTAGCACCAGCGTTGGCTGTAGCACCAGCGTTGGCTGTAGCTCCACCATAACCGTTAGCTCCACCATTCCCTTGAGCATTGGCATTGGCATTGGCATTGGCATTGGCATTGGCAGATGCAGAACCTCCTCCATTGGCACTAGCTGATGCCGAGGATGATGCCAAATTGGTGGATAGGCCCAAAGGTCCAAAATTCAAATTGGTTCCTAACGATTGAGCACTGCTTTGAGCTTCACTTTTATCTCGTTTGTTAAAGAGTCCAAGTGGATCCAAGAGACTTCCACTTGTTAAACCGCTGAGTAAACCTAACCGAACAGATAAACATATTTATATCAATATACTATACTATATAATATCCCTAATATAAATGAATATATTATTTCAAAGATTTGATAGAAACACATTTATCAGAGAGAATTCAACTTAATTTTATAGTTACAGTTAGAAACTCACCAGGTCTTGCTGAAGAATCTTGAATAAAAATAAGTACCAACGCTGGCACAAAATACACGAATAATCTCATGGTTCTCACTTCGAATTTGGCTGTAATTGCAACTTATGATATTTGTTTTTGTTGATTTATTTCTACTATCGGAGTATCTCTGTGGTCAAAGAGTTAAGAACGACTGAAGCTCTTGCACGGTACAAGATCTTATATACCACACACAAGTGGATTTTACGTCTGAAAATAATTGCCAATAGATTTCAATCGACTCGTTTTTCTCATATTCTTTTTCGATAGATCAATAAGTAGTTGTTAATATTATTAATACGAAGAATCGTAAAATATCGATAAACTCGATAAACTAGCGACTATATGTACATATATTTCGATTCGTATAATAATATCATAGAAATTTGGATTAGATTATGTATATGTATGATTAAATAAGAGAAGATATCTATTGGATACTTTGGACTAAACTTTCACTGGCAGAAACTCTTTACGCGTAAACTCAACACTGTCAAGGTCCACCCGTTTCAACGAACCGTTTTACATTTTTCGATCTTGGGGTATCCCTCTCTCTCCATCGATTATTGAAGAAACATCATTTATGACTATGATGATAAGCGGCATTTCCATATCACATCTTTCTAAGTATCACTTTCGGGGGATTTCATATTGGAAAGTTTGATAATAATTTAATCGATAGTAATAACGAGCACTATACTATTGTAGTCGCATATGCATTGTTTTCTTTATAAAAGAAGAATATCAAATGTATACTTCATTATAGTGTTATAATGTATTATTATAATTTATAAAGAAAATACTTTACATAATTTGAATATAAAAAAGATTGTCTAATTTTCTATTTTTCAACAATTTTAAGTTCACCCAATGAAATTACCATTAGATTTGATATTTTGACGATCGTATAATGAAATGTACGTGGATCCGAATAAAATTTCTCTATTCGAACCTGTTTTTTTTTTGTTTTTTTTTTGAACAATTGACGCTTGACAATTGCACCGTAGAACGAGTTGGATTTGTGAATCCAACAATATCCGGCCACTGCTAATGTACTTACACTCACTCACGTACGTAGATATGGCCTTCGAATTTTAAGTGAAAGACATCTAACAAACGTCATAAAGTAATGTCGTGGGAGATTCATTATTTGCAGATGAATCAATGTTTTAAAGGATGTTATCTCTCAATAAGATTATTGAAAAAAACCTCATGAAAAATTGACAAATTCATGTATGTATTATTATATGTTATCTATCGAAGCGAATAACGTATTTTTCATTAGGCCATAAAAAGTAATTCTACAGTTTCTCACTCAACTAATATTTAATGGAGACTCGAGATTGGCGCCGTATTATTCTTATTATTAATATTATTGCCATTAATATTAAACGCCGGGAAAAACCATGCGAATGCGTACATAGAAAATGACGCTTCTCGATTAATTCAATTAATTTCTTCGGATACGTGTATATTATAATTATTACTACGCGTCGTTAATAGGAAAATTAAAAAGAATAATAATTAATAAGCTATATCGTCACTTTCTTTTATTTTTTACTTGCAAGAAGAAACGAGTTTGGGATATAAATGGATGTTGCGTCTGCCCGTTTTCGAAGGTCGATTATATTACGATATCTTCTAATGTAGATAAACAGGATTTTACTGGTTCTTCTTCTTCTTCTTCTTCTTTTTCTTTTTCTTTTTCTTTTTTTATCTTGATACATCTTGATATGTAATATTATATTTAAAAATAATACACTGTTTGATTATTTCCATTTTCGTAAATTATACATAACGAAAAAGATTTGACCAAAATCTTCAATTCAAAGAATACGATTCTTAGTAATATAGTTTACTGGAAAACTTAAATATAAATTTTTTATACCCACATTTGCTAATAGGTCAACCATGATGAGTAATAATGATAACAATTTGATAAAATACAACAAAATAATAAATTAAAATAAATAAAATGTCTGTAATAATAGGCGTAAATTCCGATTTCTTGATTCTTGCTTAAGTCGTTCCGGTTCTTCAAGGTCAGGTTCAATGACTGCTCCCTCAGTATGCGGAGTTTAGTTTCTCCAGCACGAATGAACGTAAAAAAGTCTTTCCATGAAAATAAATACCAGAAAATAAATATCAAAAAATAAATGCCAGAAAATAAATGCCAGAAAATAAATAGCAGAATATATGTATGTATATATGTGTTGCACATTACACAAAATAATTTCTATTGAAATTTAAATATTATAATTTTTAAAAAAAGAAGAAAAAAAAAGGAACACGATATTACGTAAGAATAATAAATATATAAGATACAATATATAGAACCGGATAAGGAATATAGAAGAAAAATATAAACCCCGTTATATAGATGAGTAATATTATATAATAAAAATGTGAAGAATGAAAGAAACATCAAGGATTAATTAATTGATGTATAATCTAATACATTGATGTATGATCTAAAAGAATTATCTTGAAAGTAGCAATTATGACAATTATGATTAATCTGTAATTAAGTATACATATATAACTTAAGGACTTTCAAGTTGTATGTAGACACAACATTTTACAATTGTAAAATGATCGTCAAATATCATAGGAGACATACTATAACTAAAAAGTGACGAAGGACCTTCGCTCATTTTATCTCGTCACCGTGACTCATTCTCATTCTCGTTTACATTAAAGTGAGAGTCAGTCCATGCACGTAGAAATTCGGTGTTGGTAAGGAAAACCCCAAAGGCTATGTTACGTTATCTGCGAGATGCGGTCATTTCTGCAATTTCATAACTGACGTTCGTCGTTCCATCTCGTAGGAGACACAAAGTGAAAAACATCTTACAATTATTGTACAATTATTGTACAATTATTGTACAATTATTACACAAATTCTAAATCAATGGTTAGACATTCTCAATTATTCAAATGCAACTGCAATGTTTTACCAAATAATATTAATTGTAAGACAAATATAGAAAGATAATAAAAGATAATAAAAGATTTGGCAAGAAAAATGTATTTCTAATGAGAACTAAAAAATGCATTGAACTTCGATACGACGACGAGATAACACAATAAATGTGTAGGATCAAGGTCGAAGAAGAACAAGGTTTCATGTTTTATCTTTAATCTTCGTTATTATATAGAATATTAAGTCATTTAAACTTATTATTCGTTCAAACGAATGATAATATATTGTACATCTTCTGTTACATCTTCAACTCTTTGAAAATAATGTTTTTAGATAAGAGTAGTTTCAGTTTACTATCTAATATAAAACTATCGTTAGATCTCTAACTTAAACTTAAAATAGAGCCCATTAATAATTAGTATACTTTTTTCTTATCAACTACAACGTCATAAATAAAACAAAGCTATATTATATGAGCTGACGAAATAATACTACTATGCAAATATATGAATATATTTGAGAAAAACGACAAAATATTGATTGCATATTGATTGCATATTGATTGCATATTAATAGAATATTTATTTCGTAAGCTCAAGGAAAATGGATCGTGAATGGATCTACTAGAATAGTTAGCATCACAATCGTTCAAATAAACAAAATTTCTATTATAGTTCTATTTATAAAGGAATAATTGGATATTACAAAATGAGATAAGAATTTAACTTCGAGTTTGCTAATACTGAATTCAATTTTCTTATAATATATTAGAAAAATATTCCATAGTACACATAGACACTTATACGTATGTCTCAGAGATTAGATAATAATCATTTTGTACTTCTTAACCGAGTAAAGTAATTTTTCCGAATAATTATCGTCCAAGATAATTTATAAATAATTTCATAAATAAATTTATTAAATATTCTTATATGTTAAAAGCAAGCACAAGCGTTAGACGTAAATAATTATTTCATATCACTATATGATATAATATACGATGATATAAAGCTAAATTGATTTTTGCCTCGCTAATGAATTTCTCTGGGAAATATAAATTGTTGAAAAAAGTTCATGCCGTGTAGTACACGTAAGTACCCGCTTACAAGTAATTTAATTATTGTCAACTTTGTCGTCCATCAACAAAATGTCTATTTTTATATACATATTAGGTACCATAAATACGATAGTATAATAATATTCGTGCAATCACGAAAAAATTGACATTCCGCCTATCTAACGCCTATCTAACGCCTATCTAACGCCTATCTAACGCCATAAATCTCTTGTCTTCGATCTTTATTCATTAATTCATCGTAGAAGCGTAGAAGCTTTCAAAAATTCAAATTTATAAAGAGGAAGGAATAAATTAAAAAACAAATACTGGTAGTACGGGTAAGTAGTAATAAATGAATTATACTCATGGAAATTGAATGAATAATTAAATAGAGAAGAGAGATTGATTCGTATCCTTAAGAAATAATCGAAATAATAGAGGTAGAAAGTATTGCTTAGTTTGTTAACTAAATCTTTACAAATGTCTATAATACTAATATTTCAGATTTATATGAAATCTGAAATATAATATTGACCTGTATTTCATACTAACAATAAGTCGATAATGTAGGACATTATAAGCACACAATTTGTAAGCAAATTTTTCTAATCTATCGATAAAAGTTTCAGACTTTTTCGACGTTCATCATCATTCCCCGGTGATTGACTTGACTTTTTAAATTGATGAAATCCTTCCTATGGTAATGGTGATTGACCCACCTTATCAGAAGGCTTGTTTTCATCCGCTTTATTTTCTTGCTTTTCCTCGTATTCGCAATTAGTTTTGTGCGCCACGGCATAATTTTTCAAATAATCGACAACTTGCATATGACCAAAATTTAATGCCTCGTCTATTGGTCGTTTACCCCACCTAAATGTAGTATATGAAATTTCATATTAAGCCAATTTCGTCCAATATAATTTAATATTGTAAAGACTGACCTGTCTTTAGGATCATGAGGTACGCTACATTGTTCGATAAGGAATTCAACGCAATCCAAGTGACCCTCGCTAGCAGCCAAATGCAAAGCTGTTCTACCGTCATAGTCGGACAAAGTCATGTCCATGCCACTAAGTCGATGCCTATGTGAGATATTTCATTATATCAAATATATATATATATAAATATTATTATGATCTAACAATAATACCTTCTCATTGCGGGAACATCGCCACTGGCAGCACTGAAGAGAAGATTGACGATTGATAGACCCTTCGTTTCGTACTTGTGCCTTCTAGGATCTTTCTTGTTGGTCGCGTGCTTTAGATTATCGTACCTGTGATCATAGTAGCTACTTCACTAATCGACCGAGCACGAGGAGAAGTGCGAAGAAGGAATAGTGTGTGTCGACGTCAATCATCGTTTTTGTTTTGTTTATTTTGTTTTTGTTTTTGTTTTTTTTCGGTACGCATGCAAGTTAGAGTGTACGGCAGGGTCGTGAAACAGAAGATGACCAAGAAGAAAAAGAACAAAAAAGGTACATGTTATTATCAGCTGCCCCACATTACTTATATTTATTATACGCAAGTCTTTTTCACAATCAATGTGAGTGTCATTTATATTGAGCATTTATTTGAAATACTAATTAAACTGATAGTACAAGCTACTACTACCCTTTATTTGTAAATTGTATTAATAAGTAAATTGTATTATTGTAATTATTGTTGTCTTTATAAATTAATACGAGTCTATAAAAAAAAAGTATATGTGTGTCAATGAGATTGTTAGTATTTTAATCGAAAAATGAAAGCATTTCTTTTTTCATCATATGTATAAAATGATTGAAATAAATGATTCAATGACTCATACCTATGAAAATTAAACTCGGTCACGAGTTCTTCGCAAAATTGTACGCCTCGGCAAGAATTTCCAAGAGGATCTAAAGGTGGTGACCATGTGCAAATGCCCATGACGTTTGGTATAACCACGAGAAGACTTCCCGATACTCCAGATTTAGCTGGTATTCCAACCTACTTAGAAGTAGTGGTCAAGTAGTCATGAAAATACTAATAAAATAATCATGAAAATAATAATTGATGTGTTTAACCTTGAATGCAAATTGACCACTATAATCATACATTCCACAACTATGCATTAGACTCAATACATCTCTGACGCTGTCTGGTTTAAGGACCTTCTCTTCTGTGATAGGACATATACCACCGTTTGCCAATGTCGCTGCCATCACGGCCATAGTTTCGCAATTTGATTCCATGGAACAGCACTGATAAGAACAAGGAAGACAAAAATTCATATCTATTCTCTGTTGTAATAATTTCTTTTTTTTACCATTGAATAAATTCACGATACATACTTGAAAGTAAAAGTCCATGATCTCGCGAAGATTCGTTTTATCCGGATAACATTTATGTTCTCTCATGTAAAAGCCAAGAGCATAATTTCTATCGGCAGCTTCACGTTCCGAGAGAAAAACTGCATTATTGAAACCCAAGTTTTCATCTCCTGCCAATCTCTTAAAATAGTTCATAGTAAAGTCAAACTTCTCCGCCAATGTCATTTCAGGTTTGATGAGAGTCTTCAATAATGAACAAACCAATATCGCACCGGCATTGATCATCGGATTATGCGGTTTTTCTATATTAACAAATTAAATTTTTTTTTTTTTTTTTTTTTTATTCTTTTACTTCCTCGTCCTTGTTGAAGAATATTCAAGCACTTCTCATTTTTTATTATTAGATAAATGTTATGTACTAACTATTATAATCCAAAACGAGTTCATTGAAATTCCTTCCTGATGGTTCTTGGCCGACATATTGATGAACAACTTCTTGTCCTAGCCTATCTAAAGCTATAGCATATGTTAACGGTTTACTGCAACTTTGTAATGTGAAGGGAATTGACGTATCTCCGATACTAAATCGTTGACCATCAATCGTACAAACTGAGACTCCCCAATAATCCGGACTCATTCTTGCTAACTGTGGAATGTAGGATGCAACTTTGCCTTCTGTATTCGTTTTACATTTCCAATAAAAGTCCTCTATGTGTTTTGTAAAACCTTGCCAATCGGGAATGATGAACTGATGCCTGAATGCTCGTGATATTAACACTATGTTTGGATTTACGATTCTAAACAAAATAGACAATAATATAATTATCAAATTAAAAAAATCGATTCTTCAAATTTGTCCTTTTTATAAAACGAAACAAGTTCCAATATAGAAGAACGTGCATTATTTCATTTCATTTGATTCTACCTTCTAAATTGTTCCCTATCTAATTTTTGCGTCTCATGTGACGCACCTTCGTGTCCCCCACTTCTCGAATGTTCTTTCCTCAAATTGTCGCAAAATTCTTGAAGTCGAGGATCATTTTTTCGTAGACCGGTTGTCCTTAGAGCCTGCAAATTATTCATACAAAATGAAAAGCAAAAAATACTAAAAATTATGATGATTAATGAATTTTTTATAAACAAACACTAGGAGGTGTTTAACACTTGATCGCTCGATGATCGCTCGATGATCGCTCGATGATCGCTTAATGATCGCGTCATTTTTACGTAATGCACATTACGTAATCTTACGTATCTTCGACAATAAAACTATCCTATTGTTTTATGTAGCAACAATTATTCTATTATTTTGCAATTTACCAAACTCAATAATCATAGAATCAATTCTAGTTGTTCTATTTCGTTAACACAAAACGATTAATTAATTATTAAACCATTTTCAAATTTGTTTAACTTACAGCGATAAACTTGCCAACCGAGAGAAGACCAGTTTCTTCATTTTTGAACATATCAAAGAGAACGTCCTCGGCATTCGTAGCATGATCGTGATCTTTCGTGCTGTCAAAGAATTTTTAACATTTTTAATAATTAACTTCTTCGCAATAAAATAAATCTAACATAAGTATCTACATACAAAAAAATATTATCATTCATATAATACTAATCTTTTTTTCTATTTTCATTATACAAGAAAAAAAAAATGACAATTACAATAATTAGGTATAACATGCAATATATTTTCATCTCCTAATTTCTAAAATAAATAATATAATATTATATATATACATATAAATAATATATTGAAAAAAAATCATTTCAAAAATGTTTTCATTAACCAACAAAAATAATCCAAATTCTTAGCTATAGTTGTAATAGGAAAAGCGAAAAAAGGGAATAAAGGGAAAAAAAGGAAAAAAGATGACTATAACACCACATGCATCATGGTATTCATGATATTCATGGTACTCATGGTACTCACTACATGTAATGGCTGTCATGAATAAAGCTGTATTCGCTGAAAAGAGATAAGCAAAAAGGAGAAAGAAATTTGATTAGTATATATCAGCAGCAAGTGGCTCAAATAAATTAGCTTTACCTAAGAAATCGTGCCAACACCATGTTCGATTTTTCATTTTTCTTCTCTAACCATATCGAACAAGTGATCTTTGATTTTATCGAATAATCCATATATGAATCATTATATTTCACGTTAGAATTTTGACCATTCGCATCGATATACGGCATGGTTAGATTATTATTTTTTCTTTCTAGTATTTTTTCTTAGTAAAATAAACACCACAAATTCTATCCCGTAAATCTTAATATTATTTTATTAATCACCATCTGTACACAATATTAATGTACAAAATACCAAAATAATCTTTACAAAGGAATGTTTGATCGAAATAATATATAATATATATGATGAAAGAGAAATAATCAACGATTAGTTTTATTTATTTTTCTAATCTTTCTTTTCGATCGCAAACAAAAATATACTAAATACAAGCGATCAAATGTATTATCATTATTTTGTTATTTAAATTATGATATTATTATTAAAAAAAAAAAAAAAAAAAGAAACAAGAAAAAAACAGACCCCAACACAGTAAATATTCACATGCGATCAAAAATGATTGCGTTTCTGTCAAAGTAATGTTCAACATATCGAGCTTATATCCGATCAGAAAGACAAATATATCAAATATACACAAATGCGTCATGAGAGTCAAGATTAGGAAAATGACCGCATACCACCCGTGGACTTAGCGATAAACAAATTTACGAATTAGCATGATTAGAACTAGGATTGTCGTATGTCGTATGACGTATGTGTCAGTGACCATCTGTCAGGTAACGTTGAATTCTCAGAATATTCCAATGGATTCTCCAATCAACGATACTTTGTTATAAGTATAGTCAAAATACTAAATTAATGTTAATTTATTAATATTTGTAATGAAACAAAATGGGTATATTATTAAAGCTTTCCGCGTAATATATGTAATGTAACGTCATATTAACTACGATTATTACTAGAACCACATTTTAACTTGGCCTGCGTCAACATGTTTTTGCTTTTTTTTTGCGTTTCTTTTTTTTTTCATTTGAAAAAGGTTGTTTATTTTGAACATTGTCATTATACATATATAAGCTATAAACGACTTTACAACAGCTTAATCAATAAAGTATATAAAATATAATTTTTGGTAGTCTTCTTCGGTTGAAGCGTTTCTCCAAAACTCATTAATAATACGCCACTTTTTTGTGACTCTCTTGAGCTTGACTATGATCATGCTGTTTTGAGATTAGGCCTTACATTCTCTTTGTTCTTATTAGCAAAGATTTGTTCGTAAACCTGACCTTTAATTGAATTACTTAACTTTTAATATTGTCTGCGTAACTCTGCCAGTGGTAGGCTTCGTTCTGGTTGGCTCGCGAAAGGTCTTTTATACATTTTTAGCGAGTTGAACTTTGAATCCAGACACGAGATCCCCTGACCCACGCCGTTACGGTTAGTACACGAAAACTCACTTATCTTTTTTCTTTTTCTTTACACCATATAGTTAAAACGTTAAAAAGTTCTAAATTCTACACTTTCTCCACACCCAGGTCACTTCATTATTTAGCAATTAATAACAAAATCCGTAATTTTGAGTAGAGATAAACAAACACAATGTTCACACGCTGAATACTCTGAGTGAACTCTTGCGTCAACATGTCAGGATGGCCGAGCGGTCTAAGGCGCCAGACTCAAGGTTTTCATACCTTACCCGTTTCAAACGGGGATTTGTTCGAGGCTTCTGGTCCTCTCTGAGGGCGTGGGTTCGAATCCCACTTCTGACAAATATTTTTTTCTTTTTTTTTTTCTTTCTACAAGCACTAAATTATTAACCTTCCAAGGACAGTTAAAATGTTATTAAAAATGTTACCTATTTAGGTGTTATCAAATTTTTCCTATATATAATTCTAATTATTTATTATAAACGTACACACAAAAAGAAAAAAAAAAGAAAAAAAAAAGAAAAAAAAAGTCTATGATCGCCGCCGTATTCATAATCTTCCATCCTCCTGTTTATAATTCGAACTTGTTTTTATTACAAGTAAAATCAAAGAATAAATTTACTTCTCTATGGAATAATGTCACTTCACTACGGATTTAGTTAGCGACTATTTCGAAATAATCTTCATAGATACTTCTTATAAGATTTATTTGAATGAAAAGCCATGACATTTGATATTCATACTCGTAATCGATAAATTGTTTCATATTCATTCGTATCAATAACAGATCGGTTAAAACTAATCTATCAGTCAATTGTATTTATTCTTCGATTGATAGAGATATAATATTATAATAATCTTTTTTTCTTTTCTTTTCTTTTCTTTTAATCAATCTCTTTTAGTAATATAGTTATGAATTATTTAACTCAATATTTTATTATATGTCGAATCAAATTATTTTTACCGTGTCTGTGCGCGTTCTAATTCTAAGGCACTTCCAAAAGCAACATCCATGTATCTCAATGATCCCAGCTTCGATGTAAGCACAGGCTGCAGCTGCTTCTAACAATGAAATAAAAAAAAAAATATAATATTTCTACCCTTCTTAGACTATCAAATTACTTCTAATCTCAAATTTATCGCGTGTAATTTGAGAGTATTTACAATCTGTACGGAATAAAATGAAGTCGTATCTTTTAGAAAATATGATTTCAACAAATTAACAATGAAATTTCTTCTTTAATTATTTTCATTTTCTAAATAATATATATCTTAATATTTTCTTTTTATTATCATATTATACAACATCGGGAAAAAATACTTTTCACACAATTTAAAAACTGTTATACAAAATGTAACCATTGGATTTTTATTTTATTTTAAATCATTGCTTTTTTTTTTTCCATGTAACCTCGTATTGATCCTTTGATGAATCAACTTTTTAATACTGTAAGCAGAAACCTGACACGTGTCCTACAAATCGGATAGCGAATAAATTCACGCGAACACGTGATGTACATTTTTTTACGTGTGAATCTATTTAGTTGCCGACAAATTTACAAACGATCTCTCTCTCTCTCTCTCAAAAAAAAACAATATTATGATGAATTTGTGATCAAATAAATAAAATGTGTGTGTGTGTGTGTTTAGAAAATACAACAACTCTTTAAAATACAATATATCACAATTCTTATACTTTTTATCTAAATTATTATTTAATATAGCCTTTTCAAGGTCGTTAATTATAACACATATTCAAGCGTCATTTGCGAGAAGTTTCAAAGGTATTTTTATCACTTAAAAGAGGCCATTGCTGTTGCCCACGTGCACGTGTACGTTGTTCCTACCTAACAAACACTCTAGCAATCAGTGCAATTTTTGTTAAATCAATTATATTTTCTACATTAGCTATAATTATTGTTATTATTATATCAATATAATACGCTTAACTTGCGTTAAGCTAGTAAAGTTATCAGTTAAAATTACTACAATATATAATAAACCAATAATTATTGATCAAAATTGGAACAAATTTTAACAAGTATCAATGTAAATTGCTAATGTAACAGCAATAACGATAAAACAGTAATCTTTTGTAAGAAAAACTTTAAATCAAATAGGTCAGATGTGATATGAATGTGGTGCTGACAGAAAACTTAAAAGACAAAAAAAAATGTTTAATGCATCCTTCGTTTAAAATCGAACAATTTTTCGATACATGGTGAAAGGATATTTACAATATTATAAAACACAAAAGAAAGAAATATTTCGTGATAATGATTTAAATATGAGGACAAGAAATATTTGACTTTGGGGATGTAATAATAAAATAAATGTTTGAAAAATGTCAAGAAAGCTGAGAAAAATAAAAACGATTATGAAGAAATAAATAATTATAACTCTGTTCACCTTGTTAGTAGTATGAAGTCTCTTAAAGCCGGTACAACCGGCTTTCACAATTTTCAACATCCTAATTGTAATTAGATGACAACAACGATCTGCTGAGCTTCAAATATCTTGTGATATTCTTCAACTTCTAAAACACTTTGAGTTAAATCTTTTATTATGTTATCTCTCTCTTTCTCTCTCTCTCTCTCTCTTTCTCTCTCTCTCTCGTTTCTTATCATTTATTGATATTATTTTTATTGAATATAATTCAATTGAATGAATGTAATGCGGCCTTAAAGGTGCCGCACAAAGAGACGAACGACGTCCCTTAACGTTCGGTTCAGTGAAAACTGTCGTAATAAGGGAGGATCGAAGGGACGACGACGACGACGTAGTTGCAATATTGTACTGACATGCGCGATGTCATTTATTCTCGCCTCTCCCCTACTTCTTCTCAACCCCTTCGTAAACGATCGTTCCAATTCGTTTCTCGAAGTGTTCTATGTAGTGTTTATTTATACATATACAGTTTATGTATATCGAGTATGTATATAAAACAGTATAGAAACTATATTGTCAGGGAAGTCACTCATAAGTATGTATATGTAGTTATAATCTTACACATCTTGAAACACATCCTGCCACCCCCTTCCACCCTATCCCACGTATGCGAGTGCATGACAAAATTAGAGAGTGCTAAGTCAAAGACTATGAATCAATGAAAATCAATTTGAAATTTCCTTTTCATTTTCGTTAAGCTTCTTTTCAAACTATTGCAATTGCTTTGCTTTGCTTTGCTTTGCATTGCTTCTTCTATAATTTTCATGTTTTATTTATAATTAAAGAAAATTATTAAACGATCCACATATTTGTTACATATTATTTGGATTTTTTCTTTTCTTTTTTAAAGACGACATTATTTAAATTGTACAAATTGTACAAATTATAAATTTACACAGTAATCAATATTATTTTTTTATTGTCTCTCGATAATTATGTAATAATAATGATACATTGTACATTAAGAGAGCGATGGTTTAATCAGTTTCATTGCTTTATTGATGTATAATAATAAAGATCTTCGTCTAAATGTAAAGTCTTAAAAAAACACCTTCGGTTTTCCATTTCTAATTTCTAAAAAAAAGAAAAAACATATTATATCTAACGTAAGTACGTGAGACGGCAAAAAAAAAAAGAGATAATATAATACTTTTTTTTTTAAATGAAATTTCTAATTGTACTAATAATTATAAAAATGACCTAAATGAAAAATCTATAAAAAATGTCATTTATCACGTATTTGGCGTAACATTGATCTATATTACAATATAAGTGGGATAATTAATTTAAAAAAAAAAAAAAAAAACAGGTCATGTTCATAATCATTGGGTTAATTATAATGAACACGCGAGAAACGTGTATGTATGTATGTGTATATATGTACTTGTAACGACGAACATAACTGCGTAAATAGATACTTATTTATATATATATATGTGTCTTATTGACGATAGACATTTTCTAAAATAATGAGATTTTAATATTTACTTCCAATTATTGCAGATGATTAGCAATAATTGAATACAATTATTTATCCTAATGCAAAATTAGAGCTGCCATTGTAATTGCTTTAAATTTTACCAGACCTTGTTTCTTATCATTATTTTACATTAATTTATTAATTTGCCCTGAGTATATAAATTACATTTAATTTTTGTTATATTTTTCATTGTCTTCAATAAAAATATTTCTACTTTCTCTCAAAATTGTTTAGAAAAAAAGAAAATGTGTGTGTGTATATTTAATTAAATTTTGTTATGTTAAATATGCACATAACTTATAGATATGTATCTAATTATATCGATATTTAATACTTTGGTATTTATATCTCTACATTCTCTACTACAACCTATTACGCATATTATATTACAGTTTCATAACAACATTATTGAGTGCGTAATTAATAACGACGATACGTGCAATACGTGTATATTATAATTATATATATATAATATATGTATGTATGTATGTATGTAAGTATGTATGCATGCATGCATGCATGTATGCATGTATGTATATATCTGTCTCTCTGTATATTCCTATAAAACAATCAAATTACCTTCAATATTTTTGATTGACATTTGTAAAAATATTCAGTCAACGATAAATAACTTTTTTTTTATTGCACGCGACTCGTGATATTTTTTTATCATTATAATAATAATAATTGTATATATATCATTACCTAATTCTAATAATTAAATCTGTCGATTGGAAGACTATGTTTATGATAACAACGTAGCATGTGTGTTCATCACTTTCAGATATGTACGTATGAGTTTTTGTTCCTCTTCTTATTTTTTGTTAAATTCCTTTCTTTCTTTTACTATTAAAAATCTCAATGAAAAATATTTCATATTAAAATAAGAATATCGAACGATTGTCTTCTTTGATGAATTTTGTAAGAAATTTCTTTTTTTTGTTTTGTTTTTATTTGTAGATAGTAGTATATCGTACTAGTACGCATGTATCCCCAAGCAATGTAAAATTTTCATTGTTCGTAAAACCTGAGATTCAAGGCATGATGTCAGTTAATATATATGTATACTAAATGAACTTTTTGCAAAACAGGATATTTCAATATCTTACATTGCTTATTGTCAAAAATATTGAAATCATCTGTTTTATATAGTTCGCAGTGTATAATGTTTAATAAAGTTAGGATTGTAATTTGTGAATTTTCAAAAATTATAAACAGTGTTTTCAATAAAAATTTGAAAATCTTTCTTTTTCTCTAAATAGATTCCAAATTAAATTCAGAGATTCATTGAAATCCTGAAATTCATACTTTGAAACAAATTTGTTTGTATAAATGATAGAAATGTAACATAAATAAGTTGAAAATATTTTTAAATTCATAAATTATTATCGTAGCTAGAAAAAAAAAATCACCTGATTCAACAGCAATACACAATGCAGAGTTTGCATAAAAATCTTAAATAAAATCTATACAAAGTCTATTCCTCTTGCGTCAGTCCATATTAAAGTAAAGCTTTAAATATCATCATTGACACGGTAAAATGAAGAAGAAAAAAAAAAAAAGAAAAAAAAAAGAAAAAAAAAGAAGAAGTCAATATTAAGCTATCATCATTAGGAGATTATCAAAGTATCATATCACTGTATCCTGATACGCTGGTGGTCCACTAAGAACAAATTGTCTTTGACTCTGCCTAACAATATCGGTTCTACTAGGTACCTGAGGCGTAGCCCTAACACCGTGATAATTGCTATAACTTGACCTTACACTAGCTGGTCGATTACTATATAAATCTTCAAGATCCTCGCCATTCAAGCTTTGAGTACTAGTCTGTTGAAAAGTCGGATTGCTTTGACCTTGCCATTGCATGGTATTCAGATCGTTTCCTTGCCAATTGTCAGTGAGATTTCTTGTCGAGCTGCTTCCATCCCAAATGGGCAGGTTCTGATTAGAATAATTACTTGTGTTAGAATAATTGTTACTGTCTTGTCCAGTCCAAAGTGTTGGTGAAGAGACAGCCATATTAACAGCTTCCGGTTGCCAATTGGAATTCCTATCTCTGTCCCAACCAACCGAAATCCTATCATAATTTAATGTTCCTTGAGACAAAGAGTTAACGTTCTGATTGGTTAAGTTACTTGGTGCTGTGTTAGCATAAAGACTTTCCTGATGATCCATTATACGATTAACTGGATTTTTTCTACGCGATTGCCTGACTGAACTTCTTCGACTGGATCGACGTGTACCATCTCGTGATATTACAGAACGTCTCTTCACTCTTCTAGGTGTCATTGGCTTAGGTGATACACTGTCGTCATGTACAGGAGGTTCTGGTTGAGAATACTCGATGCTATATAACGGCCGAGGCTGTTTTTTCTTCTTCTTCTTCTTAATTTGTACTGTTGGAGAAACAAAAAATATAAAGCAAATACATAGAGTGGCTTAGAAATAAACACAAATCTAAAGAAATATATTTGATTCTATCTGCAATATTAATTGATTACTAACAAGTATAAAGTTCAGTTATCGTATTTTTGAAAATAGATTGAGATCACAATACTTTTCAAATCACAATTGATTTTCTTCCCAAAAATGTACTTTTACAACATTCATGTGTTAATAATTATGAAAGTGACTTAGAAAAATTTAATAACATTGTATTTATATACATATTTTCATTGTATTAAAAAGAAAAGAAAAAAAGAATATAAAGTTACTTAAGTTACTTTCATAATCACTGGGTTATATGTATTATAAAATACACTCCAACATATCCATTGTTAATTGATAAAAAATGACTGATTGATGTCATATATTTGTAAACAATAATTATCTCTTGCAAAAATGAAAACATATTCTTTGTAATGATGTACCAAAAATTATTTCAGAAAAATGATTATCCAAAAAGCTACATAGCCACACAACATTCTATAAGATTTCCCATAAACCAATTAACCAACAGTAGAAAGTAGGAAGATGTTAGAAAAAGGAAAAATAAGAAAAATGAAGGGAGTTAATAAATAAAAAAGCAAGCAATAGTAACATTGTGCATTTATTGTCACTAATAAATTGCATCAAAATTGCAATACAGTAGTCAAAATAATAATACAAAACTAATATTCCTACGTTCTTAAAAGATTATGCGTTACTTTTTATTTTTTGCTAATTAAAATGACGAGAAAACTTGTACTTTTCTACGCACAGAATGAAAATGATTAATCAATTCAATGTATATATATATATATCTAATGAACTTCTTTACTTTCACTTCTTTCATCACACTTGATATAATTTTCATCTATCATAGAAACGAGTAAAAAGAAGATAAAAATGAAAATAAAAAATAAGAACAAAAAAAAAAAAGTGATCATGCAAAAGAACCGAGTCAAGAATAAATACTTATTGTTCAAACTTCAAATATTCATTTATCATTATTTAAGTATGCATTATAAACTCAAATTAAGTAATTTAATAAGAATATATAGAAAATAATTATTTTCATAAAGTTCGAAGATAACATTTTTATGAAACCAACTACCATGCACTACTAAATATACTTTAATATTTATAGTTTTCCATAGCACCACATAATAACCAAACGTTCAATGCTATATGTAATAAGCTAATAAAATGCATTCCAAAGTATAATTAAAAAAATAACATATTACTTGAAAAAAAAAAATATATATATATATATATTCATTATTATGTATATCATAATATAATAATAATAATAAAGTACAATGGGACGAGTTAATCACATTATTTAACATATATTGTAAAAAAAGATAATTTGATAAAAAGACAAATTAAACAAAATTCTCATTTTAAATTCTAATAAAATCTGATGTTTTCTGCATATGTCTAAAGTCGTACAAAAATTGTGTTCCGATTAATAATTTATCATTTAAGATGTAATATTTTTTGTACCAGCGCATATTTCATAAAGCTATTCTTAATGGATAATCATCTATCTATCACAGTGTACGTATCATAAATTTATCGACGAAATAATAATAATAATAATAATAAAAGTAGTGTGGTAGTAGTAATACTAATAATAATAATAATCATAATAATAATAATTATAATAATAATAATAATAATAATAGTTATAATAATAATAATAATAATAATAATAATAATAATANAATAATAATAATAATAATAATAATAATAATAATAATAATAATAATAATAATAATAATAATAATAATAATAATAATAAAGTAAATGTCATATACATATTAATAAAAAAAAAAAAAAATGAAAAAGCCCTGAACAACTGTAAAGTTAATACGTATATGTATAAATTAAACGCAGCAAACGATTACTTTAATTAAAATTAAAATCAACAATTAACACAAATTACACTCGTAAATATTAGATCAGTCCATTTTTTACGTAAAACATGAAGAATATTAACTATAAATCATTATAGTGAAGCTATTAACTATAAAAAAAGATAATTCTAAGGAAATGGAAGTGATTATAAAAGGAAGTGGCACTTCAACTAGCTACACTAATCAATTGTTTTATCTATTTGGCAAGTATAGGAATTTCATGTTACATTTTCGTATCCCAAAAAGTGGCAGTATAGAGCAAAGCAAAACTTAAAATCAAATCAAATTCGGTTTTTTTTTTTTTTTTTTTTTTTTTAGAAAAGTCTATTAGAAAATCATTGTAAAATTCATTTCTAATCAAAGATACTTTTTCCTATATCTTTTTTTTATGTTTTTTTATATTTTTACATGTACCTATGTACATATGATATATAAAATAAGAAAATAAGAAAATAAAAAAAAGGAACTAAACTTCTCTTTTTACAATAATTATTTTTTAAAGAATATATTCTTATTTTTGAATTCTAAAAATTACTTGCACACAATGATAAAGGTCTACTTTCTCTTTTGGATTTATTTGATCTGTCATGATTATTCATACTTTGATGACGATCAATGGCCAATTTTGGATCGGAATAAAATGATCTTAAAGGCTGTTCGCGAATATGATCAGTAAAAATTCTAGGTTTGCTAGGTGTCCTCGTTTGTTTTCCACGATTTGACTGAGTTTTACATTTAGCATTTGTAACAGAAACATATTTTGAAGAATGTGGATAATATAACTTATTCTTTTGATATTTTAACCTTGCTGCACTATCTAAAGAATCATATTCATCGTATGGTGAGATAGGTCTTTGAAGATGATCTAAAGGATTCGAATAATCAGTTGAATATTCAACATTTTTCATATCGTTATTAGATAGATTACTTCTATTACTTATGATAGTATCATCTTTGTTATTATTTTTACTATTACTGGTACTATTAAATGATTTATCATTTTGTTTTGGAAAAGTAGTGTCTCGATAAGCAGATTGGTGAGAGCTAGTTGTGCCTGCGGGATAATCTTGACTGGAATTTTTATGTGGATAAGAAGGCGTTGGAAGTGCCGAATAACTAACATACATAGGATGCAACTGTGTGTGGCCTGCCAACCCAAAGTCATCACCGCCCACAAAGTCAACTGAAATATATCATTTAGAATCGACAATGTTAGAGTAAATTTGCTGGAGTGATTCAGAAGAAATTTGTACCTTTAAATACAACTTAATAGATATAAAAGAGCGCTACAAACAACTGTGACGATAAATCGCTACAACGGTTTAATTATACAATTTTTCCAAAATTAAAATTAATCTGCTCCACTGTATGTGGGTATATAGTGATTACCCAATATTTTGAATAACAAGACAAGAACTATTTCCCATGCTGAAATTACTGACAAACTTTCCACGAACGTGATAATTCGATACATCTAATGAATATTAACAATTTTTTAAGCTGCAGAAAGTTATTTCTTACTACTTATATACATTCTAACTAAAAAGTGTACATTGAAGATCAAAGAATTATACGAGTATATAATAAGACTACTTTTACAGAATTTTGTATTTCACAATATAATTAATCGTGCTGAAATGAGAAAATGAATAAATACGTGCAAATTTTGTATGAGGCAAAGCACTTACCAGAATGGGGGATCAAATCCACCAATGAAATCGACTGTAATTGATAACCCATTTTTCAAGCAATAATAAATTATCCGATAAGCCTAAATTATCACTAAACTAGCAGAAATAGTTTACTGCAGCTTTTACTTATGATAAAACTTATATCCCATAAGGATAACAATACAGGATTTAAATATTATCATTATTTAATAGCTTTCATTTTTATTATACCTAAATCCTATTAAAATTGTCTTAGGAATTTAAATGCATAATAATATAAATAGTACAAATTTATATTATTACACTTTTTATATTACACCTATTCTATCTTATTTGTAATAATAATAATAAAAAAAAGATTAAACAGAAACATAAATTCTCTTTTGTTTTATATATATATATATTAATACTTACAGCTATCATCTTCTTCTAAAAAGACTTTACTTAGGCAGATCCCTCCTATAATTGCCATTAGCTGAAAAATTCAAACATGAATTACTAAAAATGATTTTTACATCATTTGCATGATTGTCTATAAACAAAATCGTATATGCATATAGATAAAATTGTATATAATATAAATAAAACACACGTACCCCTAAAAGACATTGCGTAGATGCATGTAAGATTTCAACTACTTCATAATCCAGTACACAATCCGTCACATTACTGGGACGTGCTGGTCTGAATAATTCTGGTTCAGTCACATCATATACAGCTTTACAACCAGGTCCATTTACATGCCACCAGGAAAAGCTACCAGTACCAAGATTTAAAATATCACTATTCTAAAAAAATAAATATCTATTGTAGTCGAGATTAAGTACTAATCCAATTTGTTAACTTTAATTTACTTACTTTATCCAATACTCCTACGTTAAGATAAAAACATATTATAAATATGTTCCATCCTAACCAAAGTGTGTTCCATATACAATACTGAAATGAACAACAAATTAAGCATTCATTAATTATAGAAAATTATTAATTTTCATTTTTTATTATATTCGTATAAAAATAAACATTTCAATAAAGTATACACACCGATATGATATATTTAGGTCTGTATTGAAAGCCCCCAAAAAATCCCAGAATGACAAAAATAATATTAAAAAAATTGACCAGTATCGGGGCCCACATAAACCCTAGAAAGTCGAAAACTTGACGCTCTACAGTAGTAATCTGTAAAGAAAAAGAAAAAAGAAAGTATAACCCATTAACTGATGATCTGAGATTCTCTTCAACAATAAAATCTATTTATCGTTGGGTTTAATCCTTTACGGTCCTATGTCGACTGTATTCTTCGTTACAAATAATTATACTAAATACTAAATATATACTAAAAACAAAATTAAAGTACACATCTTATAATGGTATTATATCAACAATTGCTTAGATTCAACTAATTTCCTTTTAGTGTATTCGTAATCTATGCCAATTGTCTTGCGTTCCAAATACTCTGTTGATTGATCACTCTCTGTTAGTCTCTTGTAAAACTTATATGCATACATGTGTGTTCAAAGATTAAACAATTATTTATGATACATTTCAAGAGAATATTTCATTTGATTTTCTTCCAGGTTTCTTTACATATATCAATTATAAATATAATTAAATAAATATAATATCAAATTATTTGAATAAAAAGTAATTGTTAAGTACTTCAATATTGCGAGTGAAAGTATTAAGAAAAAATTGTAAGAAAAGAAAATAAGAAAGAGCAGCCTAGTTCTATCATATCTATCATATCATAATAATAATACTTTCGCGCGTGCAAACCACCATACAACTTATCAGAATAGAACAACAACGTAAAAAGATAAATCAAGAGAGACCGGGATCGATAAAACGATAAAATAAATTTAATCTACAAAGTTGAGTAGTACCAATTCTATCATAGCATCGATTAGTCAAGAAAAAGGAATATCTATATTCTTTCTAGTCTCTCTCTCTCTCTCTCTCTCTCTCTCTTTCTTTTTCCTCATTGTAAGACGAAATAAAAAGAAGAAAGAGAAACAGGTCTTGCATGTGGTTTGCATGATTTGCCTGATATGTGTAATGAAGATAGATTGGTTATTTCAATGAAAACAAAAAAGAATATTATAAAAGATGAGATAAAAACGATGATTTATCTAGATTTTTAAAATTCGTAATCCGTAAAAAGAACTCATGACTCATTATCAGATTAGAAAAACGTATTGCATGTATCCTTTCTCATGAATATATGTGTACAGTATATGCATGTAGGTATGGAAGTACGTACTTAAATACACGAGTGTGTGTGTGTGTGTTTTGTATGCATCATAATCGAAAGATTGCAACGCACCTGAGATGTCCATTGTGCATTTCCGTTAATATAACCAACATTGAATATACACTTACGAGTTGTAGAATGCATATTGTCAATAGAAAGTGTCTCCTGCTGCAAATTCCCATGTCATTTGGCCGGATGATCGTTGTGATTCCTCTTTTTTCTTTTCTTAATTTTTGATTCTTCTTTTTTTTTTTCGTTAAAAACTTGGTCACAATTTTAGATACACTCGATAATAAACGGCAAAAATTTCCTTACACCACACGTTAACTGCATATCGTATCGCTATTTTAATGCTGCGTTGTACACAGTAATTGGACGTTTCGGTACGACGCCATGTTAACTTCCGAAACGATATACTTCTTTCCTTTCTCAAAAACAACTGGCTGCCTCGGCGCGCAATGACACGCATCGCTTCATTCCGTCGTCCAGGCAACCAACTTTATTGTTCCTCGCGTGTTATCGACCAATCAACGACCTCCTAACGTGTTTCTTTTTGCGTAGTAAATTACTGCGCAACTCGACTCTCATGACGTATCAATGTGGCGGCATAAAGTAGAAATTCAAATGATCTTCATTCAAGTATAAAAATATGAGTTCTATTAAGTCTATTATCTTTTCTTATTTTAACAAAACAAAACAAATAATAGAAAAAAAAAAAAAAAAAACACATACACACACCATTCTTCAATTTGCTATCAGAATGACGATCGAAATCGAAGAGATATATTTCTGGTTTCAAAGTGCTAGTGTCAATTTATTATCCTGTTTACATAATAGATTATAACTTAAATAAAAAAAAAAAAAAAAAAAAAAAGTAGTAATTATATTATATTATATAAAAAATCTCTAAGAAAAAAAAATGAATTTAATACAGATACGGCTCGTTTAAGGTGTAGAAATAGCACGTTTCACGTGCATAAAATTTATGGAGATGGAAATTGTATGTTCCGTGCGCTCAGCTATATTCTTTGGCAAAATGAAGAAAAACATCAATATTTGCGTAACACGGTTAGCTAGCACAAATAATATTATTTTCCTTATATACCTGTATGATACAGGTAATACAAATCATTTTTCTATGAACTAAACAAAAAATAAAGTAACGAATAAATCTAAATTTCAATTGTATACATATAAAATAATTAAAAAAATAAATTTCGTATATCAAAAAAATATATGAGTAGTTATTATTTTTTGATGAATAAAAATGTTAGATATTAATGGAAATAAATTATAATACAGGTTGCTAGACATATAAAAAATAATTGGCACGAATATGGTCCTTTCGTAATGGCCGAATGGAATATATCAAATCCTGAAGAATATTACGAACACATGAGAATGATTGGGACGTTTGCAAGTGAGCTTGAATGTACGGTAGCAACAAAGCTTTATAATATGAATCTCGCTATATATCGTGAAATAGAAGGCTCAAATGAATTAGAACGTGTTTTCTACAGTCATGTAAACAATTATTATCAGACTGCTAGCTTGCTCTTCACTGGACATTCAGACAGCGGTCATTACGATATTTTACTCAACGATTAAATATTGTGTATTATATATTTCTTTTAATGAATACTTTTATTCTATACATCTGCTTTTTTATTCATAATATATAATTTATATATAAAGAAATTAAGGACAATAAAATATTCACTATAATCAGCCTTTTATTTTTTATAAACATATTTTATTATTATTATATTATTAATTGGCATTAAAAACTCAAAAGTTCATTGCCGTAAATACCAAATCCCGTCATTGTTCCTTCGTCGCCCTTATCTACCTATCATTCCCCACCATTGGTCCTCCCTATTTTCTGTGTTCCTTCTCAAATTCTCCAGATCAAAACTCGCTGTTCTCACAAAGATTCACCTTCTACTCCCACCCTCGGCCATCATGACGTTATACTACACAAGCTTGTGTTTGTTTTTCGCTACACACGCAAACACATAACAGAAACCGGATGCTTTTACTCCTACCCTCGGCCATCATGACGTCATAAAACAAGCTTAAGCTTGTCTTCGCCACACACGCATACACATAACACACACAACAATAGCTCGACGAAAAACAACGAGCGGTCGCCTCTCGTTACGTCATCCTCATGCTAGACGCACGCATCCTAATAAAGCAATTATTCTTTCTCTCTTTCTTTTACGCAAAAACCTTAATAAAACTCATACATATATATATATATATATATATATGTATGAGTTTTATTAAGGAAGAATATTTTTTGATTGAACTATTATCTATAGAATAATACGAAATGTTCCAAAATGCATTAGCATCGTTATATTTCCTTCCAGGCTTTCAAAGTCTTCTCTATCTTTAGATATTTTTCTATTAATTTGAAACATTACTTTTTTCTATACTATCGTAGTCGAATTTTAGTCTCTTTAATCTCTATACCATCCAGTTAACCCAGTTATAATAACGTACATTACATAACTGAAATAAAAATATTTTTATGTATAATTAAAGTAAACAAATAAACACATTATTTCTTATGTACATGAAACCTCGGTTTGCGAGCATAATTCGTTCCAAAACACTTGTATATCAAAACGAAGTTTGTCTCATCATGTTTGTCTCATCGAGGAAAATCGGATATAATTTGTTCATATAAAAATAATATGATTTATATATATATATATAAATGATAAAAAATACTAAAAAGAAAAATTCAACATAGCTTGTGTTACAAATCAACAAAATTTGTTGCTTATCTTGCGGAACACACTCGTAAACCAAATTACTCGCAATCCAAGGTTTGATCGTATAACACTTTAACTAACACTTTATCTAACCTTGCTCGATACAAAAAATGTGAACTCCAACCATAAATTATACTCGATTGATTTCTTCTAACAGCTTCCACAATATCTCTTGCAACTTGTTGATCACTCTGCTTTATCGACCTGTAAATCATTCATTAGAAAGTCAAGAAAGTAAATAGTTAATAAGTATTTATGTTTTACATACTTTCATTCTAATGTAATAAATAAATTCATTTTCTACCTTTCTTCTGTTATAGGTGATATCGCAAGAAATGTACAATTATCAAGATAATCATTTAATTTTTCACCCAAGCATTCTATTAGGTCTGTAAATCATGCGAAAAATTATGCAAAAATTATGTTATATTTGAAATAAGTAAGTATATTATAATTAGGTAAAATAAAATAATTAAGTATCATGTTTTTTATTATTATTTCGTTTGTTCGAGAAAGTTTGTTTTTTTTTTTTTTGTATATAAGGTAAGAATATCTGTTCCAAAATGATGAAAAAATTCATTTTAATAGCTAACTGCATATTAAATTCATAAAATACGGAAAAAGAAATACGTACTAGCTATAGCAATTCCAGAACTTAAAGAAACATCTTTGCTCGATACAGGCGTTACTACAATTATATGAACTCGTTCTCGATTTAACATTAAAGACAAAAATGCTACTATCGCCTAAAAAGAAAAAAAGAAAAAAAGGAATAAAGAAAAAAAGAATTAATGGCATAGATCGATAGTTTTTTTTTCCCCCCCTATGTCAGGAAAACTGTTTCATATTTTTCTTGTGAATTTTTTGGATCGTTTCAAAAATGGTCAATGTAATATAATCGATTCTACTATCAATTTATTTAAATTAATAATAATAATTATTATTAATATTAATATATACGAATCGCGTTATATACGCGTGTAAAATACTTTGATAGAATATTTTGGAAAAAAGGCTGTTAATTAGCTGACGGAAAAACGATCGATAGAAAAGAGCCACCCTTATTGTTCCCTATCTCGGATCGCCTAATCTGTTAATCGCTTATGTATGCGCGTGTGTTGTTGCCGACAAAGAAAAAATATATTAATGGCTCAGTATCATAATCATGAAAACGAAGTTTTGTTCCAATCAGTTTTCGATGAAATATTTATTTTATTGCTATCAATTGATCGATCGATAAAACACTTATTAAAAAGTGTGAAATTTCGACTTTTAACTAAAAAACTATGCTTACCGAATAATGATTCATCCAAATCGTCATTGCGGTGTCACAAATACCCTGATATGGTGTATTAATGCATGTTACTAAAATATCGATTACACCAATCTCGTTTTTCAAATTGTTTACTATATCTTTCATCTGATCAGTGTTCAAAATATCGCATTGATAAGCTATTATTCTTGCATTTGTCAACGATTCCGCTTCTGTTATCATCTGTCTTCCTTTAAGATTATTCTTTAAACTTGTGTAACGAGATTTGAGATTTAAAGCTAATTGCTGTACTAAATTGTTATCTTTGTCTATACAAATTATTGAACATCCTCTTTTAGCAAATTCTTCGGCTAGAGACGTGCCTATTGTTGAAGTTGCTCCAATTATCTGCAAGAAATTTAATTAAATTTATGCTATTATAATATTGATTCTTTTTACAAATTTAGTAACATGTTATCTATTGTACTATATGTTAGTTTATGTTAGTTAATCTAATTTTAACATTGCTTGTAATGAATTAGCTTTAATCATTTAAATAGAGTCAATAATTTGATAAAAATTATAATTATTATTAATATTTGTTAATTTACCACAACGACATCACCGGCTAGATCTCTTGGTGGCTTTGGTAACAAAGACTTAATATAATTCAACATTCTTATAAGATAGTAGAGTGTAATTGCAATCAAGTATTCAATGGTAAACAAAAGAATGATCTTTATTGATGGAAGTTCAAGTTTAATCACATTTGTCGCATATTTTTCCCTTTCTGATATCATCGTGAAATCTAAAAAAATAAATTTCATTGATTTTACATTGATTTTACATTGATTTCACATTGGTTTCTGTTGAATTTTGTCGCTAGTCTTTGATTAATGGATTAGTAGATGCTTCGGATTCTCAATAAATTTGACATTTCGTGCAATGTCTTTTCATTTGTTTTCTTAGTACTATTGTAATTTTTTTATGAAATTTCTGATAGATTTTACAAAGAAAGTTTCTTTTTATTATTTATTTTCTATCTTTTGGAAAATAATAATAAAATCCTAACTGAATGAATAATTTGAAAAATAATTGATATAACTCTAATGTTATAAAATTAATTACCATTAACGAGATTCACTTACACAATAACACAGTCACTTTAAATTAATACAAATAAAAAAGATGATTATTGGATATTATTAGAAATATTTGAATATTTCACAATAAATATAACACTAATAAGGACAATTTAATTTCTAAGAAAAGAGTCGGACGTTTCCAACAGCTTGCTATGCTCGTTAGAACTTGACTGAGCAATTGTTGTAATCTATCGTATAATTGAAAAAAATCTACTGAACTAGAGTTAAGGACGTTCTTAAGGCCTTCTACTTTCTATATAAAGCGGTCTGTTTTTACTTCTTTCATCATTATCATATATATATATATTCTCATTTATGTAAGAACTTTTTATTCGCCTAAATGTTTCTATTCTTTTTATACCGATTACTTTTTATTTATTTATTGTTAGACACTTGTACGTAACGTTGTACAATTTAAATTAAAGCGAATGATAAGTTGTTTTAATAAAAATTCTAAGTTCTTGAAAGTCATTAAGTAGAATTGAAAATAACAAAATTAGATTATTTAAATTAGATTATTACTGAATCATTAATTATAAGTTAAATAATAAAATAAATTTGTCTTAATTTTTTTGCTAAGAAAACAAAGAATTGTTATGAAAAAAGGATGGACAAATATATTAGATTTTTTAAATATCTGATCTCTAGGAGTCAGTAAATTTATTTTTGAAATATTTCACACGAAATATTTCAAATTATTGTAATAATACAAGTACGTTTTCATAGGAAATAGAGAAAGAGAGAAAGAACAAAAGACGTGATACCAATAAGGCACGTTAAAGGTAAATGACCGCAAGAATATCAAAAACATTAAACAAGTCCCCAACATAAAATATTGAAGTATCTACCACTAAATCTACGTAACAAAGTTATTACCTATAGAACCTATAGGTTCCGTTTATTAATTAATTTTAATAGCAAAAACTAATTTTTGTTTATGGTTTTCATGGTTTTTAGCACAAAACAAATACACGATTCATTCCCGGAACTCGTTGACAGACTCGGGACGCGAATGACCGTTTTTACAATATAAAACTTGTTGAATAACACAGAAAAAGTTGCAATTATTTAAAATTAATAGTGAAATGGTCACGACCGAAGAGTCGTGTGTATTCAACTACGTGTCATAATTTTTTTTAACAAAAAAGTTTTTTTTTATAACTTTTTAAATTGTTATGTAATAATCAGATGCAATTAATTTTTTACATGATTCAACGATCGACGTCTACAAGGAAATCAAGGATCAGTCGCATTGCAGACTCCGGAATAATTCTAAAATAGAACAAGAATGAAGAATTACAAGACAATAATAAGTGGAAAAACTTAAATTTAATGAAAAATTGTAAATTATCAATAATTAGTAAGTTAATAGAAGAATTTAGAAAACCTATTTATGGCATTCAAGGAAAGGAGACATCGTGGGATCGAATATTCCGTATAATTTTTCTTAATAGCTTGAATTATTTCGCAAGCCGCATATTCCGGTTTAACGATTCCGAAAATGTAAGGAAATCTATAAAAAGCAAATAAACACTTTTAACAATATAATTTTAATAATAATAATATTACTAGATAGTTATTAAACAAGAAAATAAAATAAATAAATAAATAAAAGGCCAATAAAATGAATTGAATTAAATTATCGCGTTAATCTAGTATCTGAACCACTCGAAAGAAAATTCTTTGATTAATATTTATCCAGATCGAATGGAATCATTAAAGTTTTAAATAATAAATTAAAAAATGAAATATGTGTATACAAAGTGAGTATTAATTAACAACAAAATATACAACGATCGACTTAATCAACTTATTTAACATAATAGTGTATTTTCGGATTATTCATTTATTTCAGTACAAACACCTATACTTAGGATCATTTGCTAATCCTGTATCAACGTAAAATGGATAAATCGTTGTAAAATGTATGTCAGGTTTTGAAGGATTCCTTCTTATTTCTTCGTATAGAGCTTCCATTAGACCTTCGATCAAAAAGTTTCTAGTATTATATAAATATGAATATGATCTTATTTTTAAATTTAATTAACATATAATTGCATTGCATTAACCTCTTACAGCGAATTTCGAGGAACAGTAAGGAACTTTCTGCGAAACTCCGTATATTCCACACATACTACATATGGCTACAATGTGACCTTTTCCTCTTTGTAACATTGATGGAAGTATTGCCTCTATCGTCTTCGCAAAATCAAAGTATAATTATAATAATTAATTGGAAATTGTAACAACAATTTTTCATGAAGTATTTAATATTCTTCTATATATTAGAATAAAATGAAAGTGTATCAGTGCATCAATAGTGAAGTTTAAGTAATTTCGAAAATATCGTATTTTCAAAAAATATATAATGAATTGTAAATTAATTCTTTTTGTTTATAATATATTACCCAGAAGTGAGAGAAAACATTAATATTAAACGTTCGTTCAATATCGTCGGAACTATGGTTGAGAAGAGAACGATGATACAATATTGCAGCATTATTAATCAGAATGGTAATTGGCGGTATTCCAATTTTTTTCATCGTTCTTAACGCTTTATTTACTTCCAATCTTTTCGAAACGTCAACGACAAAACCATACACCTTTAAAGTTATTTATAATTTAATATCCTATCAAAAGAATTTTTCAAAATATTATAACCTCTCCGCCATTTTTTGACACAGCAGAAATCGTTTCTCGATTGGCATCGGTATTCACATCCCAACAAATTACTATGCAACCCATTAAACCTAATTGAATTGCTAATTCTCGACCAATACCTCGGCCAGCACCAGTGATCTTTAAAAATACAAAATTAATTCAATTAAAATTAAGTCAATTATTGAAATTCTTTAAATCGGAGATTATTAATTATTATTCTGAAATCTCTTTTATTTCAATTATAAATGATAGTTAAGATTGTAAGAAATACTGAAAAAATAATGGAATATATTCCTTACTAAAACTATTTCTCCGATTAAATTCTTCGTAGTGGTAGGTAAGACAATTTTAAACGATGCAACTATTATTGCCATGCTTATTTTTATCAACAAAACGATCAAGTCTAAGATGACTCGTGGAAAACAGACAAATCGACAAATATTTTTCATCTTCCATTTTCTGTAGATTAATAGAAACATATTGTTGTATATAATGATTTCTCGACAAAAGGATTGTTTTTAAAGCTTACCGATCATGCAGAATCGATTTAATATCTAACATATCGATGTACTTGCAAATAATGTAACACGACAGGGCCGAAATTTTCAAAACATTTAACGACAATGCGAAATGATTTTTTCCCTCATACCGTTAGCGTTTTGTTTTTACTTATGTAAAAAGGAAAAAAACAAAACAAACAAATACGCAATTACGAAGGCAATGGTTGAGCACTGGAGGGACTTTAAATAAGAATTCACGGTTTAAGAATTTCTACGATGGCTCCAAAACTCTCCTACTTCGAAGCAAGTATTGCAGTCTGACCATGGAAGATGATACTCGATTTGCCATTAAAGAAGATCCATCGAATAAATAATTCATCCAACATCTTTGAAAGGAAAAGAATTCATGGTTATATCTGTAAAATAAAAAAGAACAAAACGATAAGTTTTCTTAGGATCTCATTCAAGTTCGTAGGGTGGATATTTCCAAAAAGTACGTAAGGTAGGAGTTGTTAACTGATTCATACAACAGGGGAGGTTAACTGAAAGTGTCTACTCATTACTATCAAGATTGATAAGAAGAATCCAACAACACTGCAACTATGAAAGATTTTTGAATGCACTATTCTTATTATACTTACATTGGGAAGAAATCATATGCAGTTATATTCTATCAGAAGATTAGCAGAAGGAATGCATCCTAGTTATCACAAATTAGGAAAACAAAAGGCAAATACATTATATTAGAAAACTCTATTCTTGTACAMAATCTTTTACCAGGTTTTCTAAACGATGATGGAAGATATTATTGTTCATCGACTGCCAAGAAAAATTTATGTATTTATATGAATTAATATCTTCCTTGCAAAGAATTCCATGTGAATTATTATGTGAATAGAATGCAGCTGTTCTGACTAAAAATAATCTAGACAATAATATGTTAGAGGCAAATATAATAGATTTGTTAGAAGAAGAGGTAAATATTATAATACTATTAAAATACACTTACATTTAACATATAAAAATTGATTGGGGAGTTGCACTTATTTTTAATCAATTAATAAAAACATATTGTGTGCGTCTAGGTAATCTATATTTTATTACCGACTGGTAAAATGTGTATCGCTATCTAGCGGTACTAAATATTACTTCAATGTATCGACTAGTAAAATGATGCTGCCATCTAGCGGAAGTAAATGTTACTATGTCTTACCGACTAGTAGAATATGTTTCGCCATCTAGACAAAAGACAAAACATCACTAGGATAAAATCAAGATGGCTACCTGTCAATGTACTTTGAATACCATAAATACAGGCTATGTGCAGTGTAAAGTATTTAATTAAAAAAATCCTTTTAGTGATGTAATAATCAAGTGAATAATATTTTTTATTTACAATAATTCGTTTCATATTCTTTATTTAGTGATCGCCAATTCTGGATGAAAATAATTAAACTGGATAAAGTGCTGTGGGACAGTGTTACGTCATAACCTAAGAAAAATAATTTTCTTTATTAAATCCGAGAATATAGATGAATTCAAGATGATCTCTTAATCAAATTATTTTAACAAATACTAGTAAGTAAAGTATATATTTTGTTTATACAAACGTCTTCTAATTATTAAAATATATGGATTATTTTGTCTTGTAACTTTATGCATTATCTAAACATTTTCTCCCTTTTCAAACTTATTTTGGTATTTATATAAACTACTTTTTAAAATATTTTTAGATCAGCATGCAGATCTATATTTTTAATTCCAATCCAAGAACATTATACATACTCACGAGAAGAAAAATTCATTACAACATTCGATAAATGGATATATATATTTCATTTTCTTACGACTAACGATTAAAAGATTTGCATTGATTATGCCATCCGAATAAGAGTTTTATTCTATAATATTATGTAAATAGAATGCAGCTGCAGTAACAAAGAATAATCAAGACAAGAATGTGTCAAAAGGTAAGCATTGCAATCTTGTATTTGTAAAAAACAAACCTATATCAAACTGATTGATAAACTGATTCATTTAACAGGATAGGTAAATAATTTGACTAGAAATGCCTAATCATTATTATCAAGATTGATAAGAAGAATTCAACAATAGTGCAACTAACATTATTATATTAAACACTTATATGTCTATTTTGCACCCCACAATAATACACATGCACATACACAAAAAAGGATTTCTTGTATAAA